CCCCCCCCCCCCACCCTCTTCCCTCTCGTTCCAAAATATGGAACGCACGCGAGATATTGCCCGGCTCCTATTTACTAGCAACAGGCTTGGGTACGTGTCCCTTACTCATCTTCGCCGCCATCTGTAGTAACCGCGCTGTGCGCGACGGATGCCAGATTCTGCTCCCGAGCACAAGAACCCACGTCAAGAGGAACAAACTACCAGCCTGATGTGCCGAGGCAAGATGAGTGGGTACCAGGTACATGAGCGTTGTGATGCCTAGCGAAACCTGCAGGAACGTGAAGCCGACAACGCCGTGCATCCCTTTCTTCGCGGCCTTGGGCAGCAATTGCTTGACAGCCGGCGAGAAGGATGTGTAGGCCCACAAACTCATGACGGAGGAGAAAGTGGTCAAGGCCAGGATGCGATGGTTCAGCTGAACCAGGGACGGGTTCTCAAGCATGTTCCGCCACCACAGGTCCGACTTATCAGCTAGGCGCGAGTAGTGGGCAGAAAACAGTTCGGAGGTGGGAGGTACGAAGCCTTCGCCCATGAAGGGGAATTCATTGTAGATGAGGCCTGCGTCCAGGCCGGCGACGAGCCCGCCAGATATGACAGTGGTGAAGGCGAGGAGGGCGAGGCCCGCTACGGATTTGCGGAATATGCTGAGCTTGGGGTGTCGGAGGTCGTTGAGGATTTCCATGCCCTTGACAGGATCTTTGAGGAGGCGGTTGGAGCGGAGGATCGCGAGGCCATTCCAGAGCATCGCTGTGTAGCAAAGGAAAGCTGTGCCCAGGTGGGTCGTTAATCTATACTGGCTCACTCTGGGATGGCTGCCAGGAGCGAAAAGGTCGTCCTTGAGTCCTGACTTCACCATCCACCAGCCAATGAAGCCTTGGAATCCGATCAGGCCGCCAATACCCAGTAGCCGCAAGGACATTGGTTTAGAAACTTTTTTTGTTGCGACGAAGAAGGCAGCTGGCAGGATGAAGGAGAGGCCCACGAAGCGACCCCATTGTCTATGTATCCATTCCATGTAGTATATGAATTTAAATTCGGATAGGGACATATTGGGGTTCAAGATCTTGTATTCCGGTGAGGATTTGTATTTGGAGAATTCAGACTCCCAATCCTCGGCGCTGAAGGGTGGTAGTGATCCCGTCACGGGTCTCCATTCTGTGATACTCAGTCTGCAGAGCACAAATTAGTTAAACCCCTACACGCTTCATTGTCTAACCATCAACCGGATGAGAGTGCGGCACAAACAAACCCAGATTCAGTCAGTCTGGTCAACCCTCCAAACACAACGAGGCCAAAAACAGATGCAGCGCTCCCCAATAACCAGTATGCCACGACTTTATCGCTAACGTCGGGATATTTGGATTTGCCGGCCGAGGACCCGTTGCCAGCAGGCTTTGCAGTGTAAGTGAAGGACGCAAATCTCAGTATCGAGGAGCCCGGCATTCGCACAGAGGATGTTAAAGAAGTCACCTTGGGGCCTAGGGTGGTGCGGAAGGGGAGCACGCTCATCCATCTTTGCGACGAGACGCCGAATTGGGAGTTTTTCCTCAGGCATTGACGGCAGGTGAAGAACTCCTTTGAAACGCGGGGAGCCAGGCTCCTAAACATAGGACTAGCAAAGGCCATGGTGGTAGCTGGTAGCCAGCAATGTAATTTTAGGAAGTATACGGTGTTTCTCTATTTCTGGTTAGGTTTATCAAACATCTAGTTATATCCTAATTGGGCAAACCAGCAGAGGAGAAAGCCACGTGAGCAGTCAAGCCCTATCTAATAAATTATGGCGGAAGCTAATGCCCCGTATCAATATTTCAAGTAAGTCAAAACTGTCTACAGCGAGTTCCGATGGAGATTCTCTCAGCGAAGAAAGTAACGCAAACCGTAGTTATACCACTATGGCGCTGGTGGTGATTGAGCTCTTTTGCCCTAGTGGCCTAATACAACGTTCATACAAGCAGCTGGGACTTAGTCATCAGGATATCTCCCCACCGCCTTACTTTGACTTAACTGTGTATTCTTTGACTACGTTGGCGCTTCCTGTATGGCTGCATTGGCTACACTGTGTCCAGCTGGCGGCGTAGAGGGGCCCAAAATGCGCCCGTTGGCAAATAGAAATGACTCCTGCATGAGACTATGCGCCCGCTGGACTGGGGCTGTCCCTCTTGCTCTGTTGTTCCTTCAATATCATGCCCTTCATTTCTATCACCAGTGCCTTACGACAACAGATCTGTCGCCTATCACCCAACATGAGGGATAACTCCACTTCTTATGTATTTTGCAATTGGCGAACCACAGGACTCTTTCTCCTCTGTTCATGCAGCCACCATACGGCCCGACTGAGCTAAAACATGTGGTTCTCTCAAGGATGATGAACATTTCTAAAGGTGGAGCTGGATATTGGATATAAGATATCCGCTTCTGCTGATCTCTTTCTAATGCACCAAACACCAACACAAGGACTAAATTCTTGTATATTGACTTCGATTGCCTTTTTATTCTATTTCTTTATTTCAGGCCAAAGAGTGCTCTTCTGTTCAGACAATGCACAGAGAAAGACAGCGATACAGTGCTGAGTGGCAGAAAATGATGCCTACTTCAATCACCACCGACGACCATCGCCATCACAATGCTTCACTGTTTGCCGATGATGACCACCAATGTTATGAATCACTCCAGGACCTCTCAGAGAAAGTGTTGTTGTCGTCTTTTTTCTCGAGACAGGAACACGGTGGTTCAAATCACAAACCTCCAAACATCAACTGCTGTTCCTCATCATCCATTTCCTCCAAAAACCCCTTAGCACACTCAAGCCATTACTGCCCCGTACAGGCTATCGATGATCTGATATCATCCTTGTCGAGAAACCTAAGCAGAGCGCGAGGCTGCACACTCGTGTCATCTGTGGCTTCCACTGGCACTTCATCATCGTCATCGAGTGTTATTCGTCCCAAGCAGCCTAGACGTGCGAGAAACAAGACCATCTCCGGTCGTTTAACATCCCCTTCATCGGAGTGGTTAAACTTGACGAGCTCACGACGAAGCATTGCGGCCTTTTCTCAAGTTGCTACAAATCCACGCTCCTTCGTAGTGTTGAGGAGGCAAGCTAGCTGGAAAGGCACTGATACTCGGGCTTGCAGCTCCACCATGGCAGATCCATCTGCAGCGGGTAAAGTACCTAGCTCCCTTCGTTGAACGGTTGATTCTAATATCTTTGTTAGTTGGGGCACATCCCGCCATCGGCTCAACCCCAAAACCCACAGTAACAGCTTTGGCTGGGGGCGCTGCAGGCGGGATTCCAGAGGTCACGGTTAATGCCTTTGGGACAACTTACAGCTTGCATCGCTCTATTCTGGAAAGGAGTTCTTACTTTTCTGCGATGCTTTCCGGCCAATGGAGTGAGAATAGCGAACGGGGCATTTCAATCTTCCCCGATGAGATGGACCCAAACATCACGAAAGTAGGCTTTGAAGTTGCTTTAGAGTATATGTACGGTCGAAACGTCATGGACTTGATTGAATTGGATCCTATAGGGATATTCGCATCTTGTCAATGGTTAGAACTTCCTGAGCTATTGAAGTGGGCAGCTCAAAATATCATGCACCACTTGAATGTCTCGAACATCCATCTTATCATACATACCTTCTCTGAAAGCTATTATGGGAAGGAAGGGATGGTGATTCTCGATGCGGCTAAGGCTTTATTGCGTCTACGTGGTTGCGAAATGCCACTCGCTGTTTGGGATCACATTCCTGCGGAATTGGTGAGAGAAATAATTGGTGGAGATACATTTTACATGCCCTCCGAGTTGAATAGGTGGGAGTATGCAGTATCTCTTCTCGACCGAATTCTTGAGATGAAGGCCTCGAAAATGCGTGTCCCCTTTCTAGACGATAAGGCCTCAGCTCCAGCCCATGTCAAACGCCAATTAGAAGGCCTTCTTCCCGATGATCCTCCGGAAACAGACAACAACACGGACCTGGACACCAGCGCGGAAGGGGATTTGGAGACGGCTCGCCAATTCCCGGAAGATATACACAATCAATGGCTCGATCTCTACACACACCCTGACATCCTTCCCATCCGACAAATGATCATGGAGGATATAGGATATATGCATATTCCCCTTCAGCATTTCCGTAGAATTCAGGCTCATCGTGACATCTTTGGAGTACGCCCTGTCCAGCAGGCTGTGATCCATTCTGCTTTTGTACAAGCGTTAAAGCTTGCCCACCTGGTCGATTCTGCAGATGAATTTAGCCCGAAATTGAATATCAGAAAGGATATGCTGATGAGCGACTTTCCTGCATCCCAGCGCATACAAATACATCGTTTCCATAAAGATTCTGATCTTTACCCATGCGCCATGTCCGTCGGCGACGCGATCCCCCACGAATATCCTATTACGAAGGAGGATAAAATGTCCGCAAACCTTGTAGTTTCCCGTAAAGCAAGGGGCCTTATTCATGAAGACTGCAACTACCATGTGCCACAGCACGGATTCATCGCAGCTCAATTCGTTACGGGCTGGGAACGCAGCGATTTCATAAAACCATTTCCTATGAATCTCCCAGATCCACACCCCGAATACAGCCCTTTCCCTCCATTCAGATTCTCAACAAGCTTCCCCCACCCGGCCACCCTGGACAGTAAACAACGATGTTTTTCGCCTCCCTTCTGGTACGCGGGCTCCACATGGGTCCTCTATCTCTACTACAACACTATCCCCAAGGCAAGCAGGGTAGGTCTCTACCTGCGGCGAATCTACGACACCCGTCGCGCAGAGCCTTCTTTGGACAGCTGGTGCTCCCGTCTTAATCCACCACGCATAGCCCACCACGACCCACTCAGCTATTATCGCGTTCTCCCGGATCTCCACCCAAGCGACCTGTCCAGTTGTTATAACGAAGCATACCCAAGACTCGATCTTCTCGGGGACAGGTTCGGGACTCGAAACGGTATGGGGCAGTTGTACCCCCGCATCGGCCGCCCGAATGATATCCTCGCCAAGCTCCCCTACGTCGACATTCGCTCCGCCGTCACCGTGCACTTCAAGCTGTATTCCAACTTCGCGTGTGCGGGACAGCCTGCGTGCTTCCAGAGCAAGCCGGAGCAATTTCAAATTGATAGGTGTTGGGGGTGGGATGTGCGCGTGCCCGATGGGCAGGAGCCACTGTTGGATCTGTGTGGGAATCCGCTGAATGAGAGGGAGTTGAAGATTTGTCTGGTTATTGGTGATTAGATATTATCTCCCTTGTCCTCACCTTACTCCTGAGTTGTCTTGGTCTCTGTGTGCGCATTGGCTAACTCATAGTTTTTATTTTCTTTTAGGTGTCTTGTGATGCGTTGTTCAAGTTTTCCGATTTTCGATGTCATGCTCCGTGTACTTTCGTTTGCTTCTTTCCCACTGGTCCCTTCTCTTTTACTAATAAATCTGTCTGCTCAAATCTCCTTTACACTAAATCACGCAATTCCGTCTGCCGTTTTATTCGGCCTTACTGTTGCCCTGTATATCCCTTTTGTTTTGTCCTTTGTCCTCCCCGCATCCTTTATTTATTTAAATTTTTTTTTTTTTTTTTTTTTTTTTTTTTTTTTTTTTTTTTGTTTTTTGTCAGATAGAATACTTTCGCGCACGCCCCTCAAACTTACGATTCCAAGACCTCAGGGATTTTTTATTTATGTCAGTTTAATCGTCCGCCGTTAGTCTCTTGCTTCCCTTTTCTCTACCCTACTTTCCAGCTCCTATTACGAGGTTCTTTCTTTCGTCCTTGCTTTCTTTCTTTTGTGTTTTTTTCTGTTTTCGACCATTTTTTCTTTATTTTTCCGCGTTAAGTTCTCGATTTATCTGGGATTTGTCAGGGTCAGATTCTTCTACTGGAATGAGGGAAAGGATTGTTTTGAGAATGTTGCATGTAAATTAGCTGGATTCCATGATCGTCGATTTTCATTGATTTCTTCCGTGCTTGGATTCTCTGGCCCCCTTCTTCCTCGTTTCTTGCTGTTGGCTGTTTTTCCGAATGTGGTTGGAACTTTCCATCTAGGGAAAATCCGCTTTTGTGTTTGGGACTCTTCTGTTTTGTATTTATTTGCTCATTTACCGGTCCACCTTCTCACAGCGTTCAATACGCCTCTTTCTGTCATGTAGGGTAGCCCATGGTTCATTCTGCTTATTTGTTTCTTGTTTCTTGTTTCTTGTTTCTTGTTTCTTGTTTCTTGCTCTTGTTTTGCCTAGAAAAGGTAACAAAATCTAATAAAAAAAAGCTGTACTGAGTAACATGTCCGCGTATAATTATCCCCAATGATTGTAGTTTCACATATGACATAAAACGAGAAAAGGAAACCTCAAAAATATATCGCCACCGCCTGACGTCGTTCTCATCCTCCCCTTCAAATATCCAACGCCAACCCAAACATGCCCTCCCCACCTCCAGTTTCCGCAATCCACCTTTCCACACCCTCCCTGTGATGCAACAGCATCAGCAACGTCTTCCCAAACCGATCCACGTCACAAGCCCGCGCTTGACACACCAGCGATTGCAGCGTCTCCATCGAAACCAGATATCTCTTGTCCCGCTCCCGCCAAGCCTTTGCCCAGCAATACGCAGACGGCGCCTCCCATACCGCCGAGCTCGCGATGAACGACGTCCCGCCAGGACAAACAGCAGATCCCAACTTCATCGTTTCGTACACGCCGGCGACGCCGCGTACAGTGATTAGAGTGCGTCGGGCGCATTCGGCTACGAGCCACTCCTTCCAGAGCGAGGTTACTGGGGTTGAAAAGAGGGAGAGGGGGTCTCGTTGTGGTTGTTGTTTTTGCGGTTGACCGCTGGCGGCAAACAAGGAGGATGAGGGTGATGATGTGCCATTAGAGTCACTGTAGTAAATGTCCAGTCCGCTGTTCATCAGTGAGTCCCACATCTCCTGTAGCCAGGTTGTTAATAAAGGTGCCTGCTGTTCCGCGAGGGCTTGTTGTCGGATATCGCCGCCAAAAAGGCGGATTATTTGGTAAATTAGCAGAGACTGTACGCGCGCAAGGTGTCTGCGGAGGGTCAGATGGGATGGGGTAAAATTGGACGTTTGTTGTTCCTGCTGCTGCTGCTGCTGGTGAAGGTGAAGGTGATGGGTATTTAAAAGTGCAGTCACCTTCTCTTCGATGATGTGGAAGACAATTCTTTGGTTCCCTGCACTTTTTGTAGAGTAGATAGAGCAGCAGCTGTAGGCATCTAGAATTTCCGACGGTATATAATCATAGTACAGTTGTTGATGGATGAACGGGTTGGTACCCTTGGTGACCCATTGCAGTAACCATCTTTTCAACTCATCCACATAGAGTTGGAGTACCGCTGCGTCAAAGCATCCTCCAGGTAGAGGGGGATCTTCTTGGTGGCTGGATTCACTAAGTGAAGGTGCCGTATGGGAATCATAATCCAACATAGTGGATGTCACAGTGGAATCCCCCTGGATTGGTCCACTGGTGTCCTGAAGAGTCGGCTCAAACACCCTCGAGAGTTGATCAGTCTCGTTTAGGGCTGGCACATCAGTGGGCATGAGTCCATTGAGAGACGAAAAGTCGAATGCCAGTTCGCTGTTGGCAAACAGGGAGTCTGTACCAGGGTGTTCCTCCGGCTCGGCTCTGGGCCCATACCTACAGTCCAAGCCCTTGACGAAACACCGTCTGCATTGCGGGAGACGGAGATCGCAGCGGCGCTTAGCCTTAATGCACCAAGAGCAGGCTTTCCTGCGAGAGGTAGTCATTCTCGCCAACAGCTGCGGAGGACCTTGCAAATCAAGAAAAGCTGTCCACCAGAGATTTTGTGCTGGAGATCGATTGTGGTTTGCCGGGGCGGGATGACTAAGCAACTAACTAAGGGACTTGTCCCGAACAGGAAAGTTGACGGAGTTCCGTTGCCAACTCCGCAACGTCAAAGTCAACTAGTTCAACATCCGCCAGCAGTTTGTTGTTCGCAACAGCAGAACTCCGCTGGCAAACACTGTCTTTGCGCTGCGGACCAGACGGCATGGTATAAGCTAGCGCGTGAACAAATCAAAAAGGAGCCATTGCACAGTTACGAGAATGTTGTGGATCTCCACAGCGTCATCAGGGGGGATGACCGTCTTAATATACCACCGAATGAACCATCACCTTGCGGAAACATGAGGTATGAAGAGCGGAAGAGACTAAGGAGGCTAGCGATATAAATAACAGCAATGAATACTCTTCCGGCATCCTTATCAAGTCATTGGAATACAGAATTAACATTCGAACACACCATTCTCCTTTCTATAACAGACCAACTTGGTGTGAGTTGAGCTCAAAATTTCGAATTTCAAATTCCCTTTATCTAAGATATTCCAACATGCCGCGCTTCGCAACGAAGACCGTTCATAAAAAGCCGTATGCGGCCATATCCCCAACTGCTCCCGAGCACTCCCAAGCTGGCCAAACAGTGGTAATCACTGGTGGTGGCGGCGGTATCGGGTTAGCCATTGCCAGAGCCTTCGCCCAAGCTGGCGCATTGAAAATCATCCTCCTAGGTCGTCGCTCTGAAGTTCTCTTTGATGCGGTCAAGCAACTGCAAAAGGAAGTCCCTGGATATTGTGGTGAACTGCAAGCCGTGCCATGCGACATCTCCGACAAGATGAGGGTCGCTCGGTTTTGGGATCGACTCAGGGAAGAAAATACCGCAGTCGATGTGCTCGTTCTGAACGCCGGAGTCATCGATCCCATAGGCGATATCCTGAAGGCCAAGCACAGCGACGCGTGGGCTGCGTTTGACGCAAATACACGTGCAAATTTGGATATGACACAACGATTCTTCAACAACATCGATGCTTTTCCAAATGGAAAGAAGAAGGTGAGAATTTACTCCCCTGACCGGTATCAATGATCTGCATTTTAGCTTTGCTGCTTGTTAAACTTAGCCTGGGCTGATACACCTTTCATTATTTCGTCCATATCGTACAGAGCCTGGTTCATGTATCCTCCGCAACAGCCGCCGATTACCATCTCAACCCGATCGCAGGTACATACGCTTCGAGCAAAGCTGCATTTTTGGCCCTGCTACATCGCATTGCCATCCAAGAACCCGTTGAGAAGGCTCAAATAATCAGCTTTGATCCTGGTTCCATTTACAGCCCAGGCGTAAAGGCTGCTGGTTTTTCGGAGCATAGCTATGACTGGGATGATGGTATACACCCCTCCTTTCCCTCTTTTTGGCCCATTAATTTCCCTACGCATCGGCACTGCCGTCCATGGATTCTGGAGTAGGTTGCTAACACGTGCAAAAACTCGCCAGAAAATCTACCTGGCCAATTTGCTGTTTGGGCCACGTCCTCCGCTGCTGTTATGTTCCACGGACGCTTCGTTAAATCCTGTTGGGATGTCAATGAATTGCAAGGTGCTGAGGTCAAAGCGCACATAGACAATGACGACATGTTCTTAAAAATGGGAGTCATAGGCTATTAGGTTACATGTCGATTTCGGACAGAGTTGTATACTGTGTACACCTTTTAGTATGTTGTACTTGTTGTATCCATGAAATTACTTTTGCACAATAAGAACTGTTACATGATATACCGCACATCTAGAAAGAAAGGAAGGAAGCAGAAAGAAGACGAAAGAAAAGAGCCGACACCACGCAGCATGGAATTCATTCCTCGGTATTAGGGGCAACTGAAATTTCTAGGCTACTGGGGCAAAAGAGCTCGTTCATCCCCTAGCCATGCTGGTAGTAGAGGGGACGAACCCCCCCCGCGTCTTGGAAGTTATAGGAGAGCGACATACTGCCCTTCTTAACCACTAAGAGAAAGCGGTGTGATAAGGGGATAAGTTCTAATCTGGACAAGCCGTCCGCAAAGAGGCGAACCTGTCCGCAATGCTGCCTTTCTCTTGATCGGGCAAGCAAAATCCCTCGTTCGAGTGGGTCAAATCTTTAGCCTAGAAGATGCAATGTGATTCACGCAATGGTCCTATACGATCTAAACGTTTCAGTTGAGATTCCTCCATCGCAGTGCGGAGAGTTTCTTCAAAGAAGCATTCTATTGCCTCCGCTTGGGTGACTAATAAGAGATCGTTGCTTTACAAGTGCAGGGGTGTATGTCATCACAAGCGGACGCGGGCGACACACACCAGGTGTACATACAAATGAATCGACAATTGGCACGGCGCAGGCAATGCTATCACTTCATTTCCGAGCGGAATGAAAGGGGGGTACTTCTCTTGATACGACCGTCTTCTCAAACTGACGTATTTTCGGTGCTGGAGAGTGTGATCCAATTGCCTACGGGTCGACAAGTGATGTTCTTTCAATATTAAATCAACTCCACCATCTCTCTAAACTTGGAAAATAAGGTGTCTTCCGCGGGTTACAACGCATGACATTTCGCAAATAGTTCTGAAACCAGGACTAACCTAAATCCGCCGTGACCCCACTGTAGCCCCGCCGTGTCCGATGAGCATGCCCTGTCAGTCGAGGACTGAGCCGATCTGGGCCGCCGTGGGTTGGGTATGAACAAATTTCTCGCTGAAATCCCAAGCGGTGATGTGGAGTGGAATTAGCGGAGAATAAAGGGAAAACGAGCCCCTGAAGTGTATGCTTCCGATCCCCGCGTCGAAAATGGATAAAAAGGAGATTGAGAGCCACGGCCGACTCCGACGTGCAGGGCTGGCGTGATGAAAGAAAAAATGGAATGTGAATATCCATGGAATTATCTATCTGCTGAACAAGAGTGAAGGCAAGATATATGTTATCCCCGTATTATAGCAATTGTTTCTAATGGCTCACTTCTAACCACCTGCCAGCACAAAGTGCCTTCGTACAAGATATTTTTGGCAAGATATTATATATAGGACCACCACCCGACTTTTCCAAACGAAAGCTGGCATAACAAAAAAAAATCGTATGTTGTATATCGCCAAATAAACATGTCAAATAAGACCAAAGAAAAGCATGTCGAAAAGCAAAAAGAGCATAGAAAAGAAGATATAGAGGTCACGTGTTGGGGACGATTGCCAAAAAAAAAAAAATGAAATAAAATAAACAAAGCCAACAGCGTAAAAAGCAAATTGCTGTCATATAATTTCATATCGTGTCATGTGGAGTGGTTTAAATCAGATTACCACGCAGTGCCTGCTCGCGCTCAATGGCCTCGAAGAGGGATTTGAAATTCCCCGCGCCAAAGCCGGAGAAGTTGTGGCGTTGGATGATTTCAACGAAGACGGTCGGACGGTCCATGAGGTGCTGTAAAGCAAGAATATCTCGGTTAGCATTGTCTGCCGCCCTTCCAAAATCTTTGTAATAACACTGAAGAAAAGATATTTCAGGAACCTACCTTCGTGAACAACTGCAACAGATAACCCCCTTCATCAAAATCAATAAGAATATCTAGACTTTTCAGCGTCTCAAAGTCTTCCTCCAACTTCATGCCCCCCTTCTCCAATCTCGCCTTCATATCCTCGTAATACGTCTCGGGGACCTTGATGAACTCCACTCCGCGGGCTTTCAGATTCGTGATGTCACGGATGATATCGTCCGAGCGGAGCGCGATGTGTTGGACGCCCGCCCCGTTGTAGAAGTTGACATATTCCTCGATTTGGGATTGTTTCTTGCCTTTCGCAGGCTCGTTTATGGGCATCTTTACCAGCTCGTTTGGAGATGCCATGACGACGGACTTTAGGGCGGAGAATTCACTGGAGATATGTTATTTGTGTTAATCAGAGGAGTTACAAGAAAGGAATTATGGACGGAAAGGAAAAGGGGTACATACGTGAAGATATCCTTGTCGTCGACAGACCAGAACCGGTGGAAGCCGAGGACTTTCTCATAACTAAAAATCGAAGTTAGCCAGGTCTCTCTTTTCAGTTTGTTCAGGGGAAACCCGGGGGGGATAATACTATTCACAAACTTTGTCCATCTCATTCCAATCCTGATTGCCAACGCAATGGTCAACGTGCAAGAGTGGGACTGGGGGCAGATGTTTCGAAAGGGGATCCTCTGCAGTCTCCTGTCGATATCCCGGCAAGAATACGCCCGAATAACCTGTCCTTTCGATTAGAGTATGCGTCGTCTCGCCGTATGTTTGTATGGTTGCCATTTTGACCACACCCTGGCCGTCCTCCAGGGTCTTGATGCCCGAAACAACCGTCGCCCCGTTCCGCACCGCAGCGTTGAAAACAGCCTCGACATCGTCGACTTCGAACGCAACATCCTTGACGCCGTCCCCGTGCTTTTCCAGGTGCGAGTGAATCTCCGTCAACAGCGCCTGATCATCTTCGCTGAACTGGGACAGGTGGTCCAGCGATCTCAGGGGCGAGGTGAGCACGAAGGTGATATTGCCGTTGCCGACGACGTGGGAGGCAACAGCTTTGGAGCCCGTTTCTAGACCTCGATATGCGATCCTCTCGAAGCCCATGCGGGCCGTGTAGTAGGCGGCAGCTTGTTTGGCATTGCCCACGTACCAGTGCACATGGTCGTAGCCCTTGTACCTGGACAGATCACCGTTGCTTTGAAGGCGTGGGCTGGCTGGCGGGGAGATAGCAGCTGGTGGCATGGTCACTTGATATAGGTACCGCTGTGCAGCGTTCGGTTGCGCTGTGTCACTCTGCTACTGTGGTATGTTCAAAGTGATAGCAATGGAAATGGAGAGGAAGATCCAAGATTGATATCAGCACATGAAACAAAGGTGGCGCCACCGAGATACCTAACGGTTATATACTTGTACAGTGCAGATTATGTTTTGTTGATCAGAGCTTGGAACGGCTTGCCGGCAGCGGAAGCTGCGCCAGCTCCACCAACCTATCCCCCTGCACTGATTAATATACTTATTCCAGCGCGTTTTCCAGGGTTTCGCCCTCTGTCCGGTGTTGGTTATTTTCGGTGGCCGTGGAAATAGCTCGGCTACTGTCGGGGCGGAATGTTGCGCGCCAATCAGAGTCGGTGCTGAGAACCGAACCTATCCTAAGCATCCGCTTACTCAGCACCGTCTTCGGCAGTGCGGTTGCCATACAAAAAGTAGGTAGTTAGCCGTCGCCCAGCTTGGATCAAACTGCCGAAGTGGAGAAAGTATATAATTTTTATAGTCTTCGCTGTAGACATAGAGATATATATAGGCCTATCTTCACATACTGATATAAATAGATATATATCCAGCTATCATTTTCCTCCCCCAACATCCCTCTTTGACTGACGTCCTCCATCATCGTATCCAGCACAGTATGAACAGACAAGTAACGAAATAATTATCTCACCCTTTGAGAAAATGGCACCCTCAGCAACGACGATCAACTCCTCCGCCCCTCGCCTCTCCTCCAACGACTCCGCTGTCCTCCAAGCCCTCTTTGACGCCGAGGCATCCCCCCGCAATGCCTCGGCCAGCATCCATGTCGACCCTTCTCTCCCCCAGCAACTACCTGGCATATCCCCAACCGAGCTCTCAACACTGCAAGCGCTCGAACGCGCCGCGATAATCCCCTTACAAGCAGACACAGAGGCGGAGCAGATACGAGACGCCGTGGCGAAGCTGACGGCCATCATTGAGACGAATAAGGGCTATGCGTCAGCGTATGTGAACAGGGCGCAGGCGGCGAGGATGTTGGCGGAAAGGAAGAACATGGATAGGAATCAAAATCCTCAGGGTAATAATAGTAGGAGGGTAAATGAAAGATCTAGAGATAACGAAGCGGTGGACCCCTACCAGGAGGCGGAGGACGACGACGACCAGGAGTTGGCAAATATGATCTTCTCCGACCTCTCAACGGCAATCGCACTCCTCACTCCATCTCCCGTCTCCAACTCGTCCTCCGCATCTTCCTCCGCACCATCACAACAACCACAGCACCGACCAACCAGCCTCTCCCCTCTGCACGCCCGCATCATCGCGAACGCCCACACCCACCGCGCCTACATCCTCTACCGCGCTTCTCGAGCCCTCTCCACATCCACCACATCTCCACCTAACGCCGCAACCGCACCACTGACTCTCCCGCGCCACCTGCAGCACAAATCCGCGCAGCAACTCGAAGAGATGGCCAGCATGGATTTCCAGCTGGGCGGGTGCTATGGGAACGACATCGCGCGCCAGCTGGCGATCAAGACCAATCCGTACGCGAAGATGTGTGGGGCGATCGTTAAGGAGGCGATGAGGAAGGAGATGATCGGTGCAGTTGGGCAGGGTCAATGGGACGGGGACGGCGACGGGGACGGCGACGGCGACGGCGGCAGGGATGGGGGTGTTGGGGGGTTTGTGGTGTAGAGTGTAGAGTGTAGCGAGCGGGGTTGGGGTTGGATTTTTCTTGATGTGCGTCTTATCTTATAGCAGGGTGTTTGGCTATTTGGTGAGTTGGTCTGTTTTCGAGGTTGGTTGAGTCCTTGTGAGAGGAGTGTATTTATGTGTGGGTGAATGATATGTAGAGCAGCTGCTCATAGAGGGTGGTAAATAGACAGTACATACCCCAAACCATTCCCATAGCTATCAGAAAGAAGCGTAACAATAGAGAACATACAGCCTGATTTATTACTAAATAGTTAACTACTGCATAATAGAGCGTGGAGAAACCGAAGTTTCGAAATCCTTGGAAAATTCCCGGCCCAGCTCAACTTCCTCTCGGCTCAGTATTTTATATAACTCATCATCAATGAACTACTCCTACTACTATAGGCAACCAGCTGCCTACCCTACCTCATCTTGTTCGGGTTCTCGAAATTCCTTTTCAGCGGTCTCCAACTCTCGTCGTTATAATCCCCTTGTACCTTCTGGCAGGTCTTTAGCCCCCACTCCGACACACCGACCATCAGCGAACTACATCCAACCAAAAACCAGTTAGTAAGCTGCACTATGACACCGTATATATATATACGTATCTTGTATACCAAAAGAACAGAGAAATGACCAACCTCTCAAACATAAACGCCAGGCTTCCCTCCCCGACCTTCTTAGGCGCCAACTCCGCCTGACTCGCGGCCCGATGAGTCTCCGCATCCGGGCCATGCGCACTCATCACATTGTGCAAACTCGCCCCAGCTGGTCGGAACCCACCCCCAATTTTCGCATCGTAGTCGCCTGAGATCAGGCCCATGAATTCCGACATGGTGTTGCGGTGGTACCAGGGCGGGCGGAAGGTGTCCTCTGCCACCAGCCAGCGTGGGGGAAAGATAACAAAGTCCGCAATGGCCGTACCTACATGGTCTGAGGGGCCCGTGAGGACAGTGAAGATCGACGGGTCTGGGTGGTCGAAGGAGATGGAGCCTATGGTGTTGAAGCGACCCAGGTCGTATTTGTATGGGTAGTAGTTGCCGTGCCAGGCAACGACATCGAAAGGCGTGTGGTCCTGCCGGGCCGAGAAGAGAGTGTTGTTGAATTTGCTGAGGAGGTGCCATTGGGTGTTTGTGCTCTCTTCCGCCTCGCTGTCGATGAAGGAGGCGGTTGGCGCTTGGAAGTCGCGGGCGTTGGCGAGGCAGTTGGAGCCGATGGGGCCAAGTTCAGGGAGTTGGTAGTGTCCTTGGTACAGCTCGCAGATATAGCCGCGGACGGGGCCAGCTGGGAGGGTGACGCGGTATCTTGATGGCTGCACTTAGTAATTATTTTTGCATAATTTCTTTCATCTCAAATTTCAAATTCGGTAAGTGAACGAAACAAAAGGTGGAAAAAAAACTTACCTGATCCCCCGGGGGATGACGCAAATCTCATTGGGGCGCACAAGGATTTTCCCAAGCTCGGTCTGGATATCAAGAACCCCATGTTGCGGCACGATCAGGAAGTCTCCATCAGCGGAATAAAACGCTTCGTTGCCCATATCCTTACCCACAGCGAAGACCAGGATTCCCAAACCAGCCTTCATCGCAGGGTCTCCAGCGCCCGCAACCAGGTGCAGGCCGTGCACCCAGTCCACATCCTCGCTGAAATCGAAGGGGTTCCACCGAAGCTGGTTCGGGATCTGTTTGAGAGTATGCGCATCCTTGGCCAGGCTGGTGTGGTAGGTGGAGGAGTCTACCTCCACAAAAGGCTCATGGGAGGCCGAGGGCAGGATGCGGTAGAGCCAGGTTTGCTGGTTTTCATGGCGGGGGGCCGTGAAGGCAGTACCAGAGAGCTTTTCGGCGTAGAGCCCGTACGGGGGCTTCTGCGGGGAGTTCTGCCCGACAGGCAGGGCACCGTCAATGGCTTCCGACCTGGATGGGGGGTTGCGCGTCAGTGTCAGTGAGATGCGAAAAATATATCTGGTTCCAAACTCACTCGTGATAGGAGCCGAAACCATGGAGGTAGGTGTATTTTTCCGGCGTGGAGAAGCTTGAGACGGGCATGATGACGTATTTTCAGAGGATGCTGTCGAGATCCGTCGTTCCGTAGATCTCCCACTCACGGCGCGAGAGAGAGTTCTTTTCTCCTCCTTTTGAGTATTCTTCTGCGGCTGCTTTGCCGTGCGCAATGCCGGGCAGCAGCCACCGGTGGGACGCCACTGCCGAAACACCCTAGCCGGTTTGGGTCAAGCGGGCGTTTGGAGATCCCGTCTTGCCGAGAATAAGCGCGCGGAACCAATTCCGATACACCAGCAGGGGTGGATGTAATGACTGACGTAATCCGACCTGACTTATCCCGGCGCGAGAACACGAGACGCGGATTGATATTGATATACTCGCGATGAACAACCTTTGTACTCTGCCTTACAGCTGTCAAAGATCTCCTTTACTCTTATCGCCGTGGATATGAACTGAGCTCCTACACCGCGCTACCAATATGCCACTAGATCGCTTGCGCAAAAGTTTTGAAGCTTGCGATACGACAATGTTGCAGATTTGGAATAAATGGAGGTTGAATCACCGTGATGGGATCTTTAGAGAGGAGCAGCAAAATTCACCATCATCGCCTGCTCTCATCCCCGCCAGAAGCAAAAACAATTTGGAAAAAGGGGAAAAGAAGAATCACGGCAGTGGAAACTTGTTAACATCCGATTCCCATTGCTACAACCAGCAAGAGGAGGCAACCGGCTCTCCCAGCGGGCATCTCCCCTTGCAACAATTTTCCAGCAAGTTCATCCCTGGCTTGAATCTAGCGCTCGCATCAGAAGTACTTATGCATGGCCATCTCACTTGTCTGATTTTCCGTCCTTCCCCACACATCGGTGAGTGATCTAAGCAGGCCATTAGTAATTCACATCCAAGATACTCAGCCTTCCCAAAACAATACAATAATAAAAAATAATAACAAAGTTAATAAAAACAAAAAAAAAGACCTCCACCTGTCGCACCAGCAGCTCCTTTTGACTTTTCCTTGCAAACATTTGAACTCTTCAGTTTGGATGGACTGGAATATCAGCCGCTCCATAAATACGCGCAACAGGGGAGGAGAGAAATAAAAAATACCAAGAGCATCGCGGCGTATAGAGAACGCCTTGCCTCGGAAAAAAAAAAAAAAAAAAGAAAAGAAAAGAAAAGAAAAAGAAAAAGAAACGAAGCAGAGATCATCTCCCACGGGCTTGGAACAGGCCGCTCCATCGCAGAATGATTGGGTGGAACCAGCCCACAGCGAGCCTGCAGAAGTGCGTGTTGATCCCCAGGTGGGCGCTGAGAAAAAGCAGTTGTCTGTGTGGTCTGGTCTTGCAGCCAATATTCGCCTCATTTTGGCAACTTATCATATTCCAATTCACGGCTTTGTCCACCGAATTCATTGGTTGGGGCCGGGTGCAGAGGGAGGGTGCATCTCAAATCGCAATGGATACAAAATCCCCATCACTATTTCCAACAAAGAAGGAAAGGAAGGAAGAAAGGCGAAGAAGTCAGGAAAGAGAATTGCGGTAACCCATAGGAATGGAGAATGGGGAATGGAGGTGAGGTGTGAGTGCGTCGCACAGGACGGCTGAAAAAAAGCCTGGGAAAAAAAAAAAAAAAAAAATACGATTGACGGTAGTAAAAGCCCTGCAGGACAAAACGTTTTCTGCATCTAATGGATCTGGCTGAACGAGGGCAAAAAGCTGGATCATGGCTTTGTTTTCGCTTTAGGTCTGTAGAATATATTAATTATTATTTTATTATTATCATGTATTTCTCTCTCTCTCTCTCTCACACACACACACACATACACACACATATATATATACAATTAGTGGTTATACATTTGCTCTTGATTAGGAATCCTAACAAGCTTTTAGATTTGCTTATCACTTATTCCTTTTTCCCCACTGCACCCTCGAATATCGGGGTTTTGTGGGTCATGTTGCATATTCTTGCATGCATGCCTTTTGGATTCCAAGCCATGCATGATTTAAAATGTCCCGCAAGGATGAAACCACCCCCAGATTCCGAGTGACATTCAACCCTGTCCATTATTTTCCATTATTACTTGGCGGGGAGACTGTGTCCTTTCGATGAAATACTTGTGTTTAGAACTCCACCTAAGCCTTTTTTTTTTTTTTTTTTTTTTTTTTTTTTTTTTTTTCACGTTTGATTCCCTTCAATCTTTAAGGGATTTGATTTCTGTCGCCTGCTTTTTGAGGGTGAATATCAAAGAATGTTAACTAGCTAGCTATGCTTATTATCATGCCGACAATATCAGAATCTAAACTCGCTGAAGCGATCACAGCAACGTGTACTCCGTAGCTAGATAGATAATATATATCAGAGCCGCACTTAAATATATCGTCTTACATGATAGTCGTAATGCTGCCCGCGAGTTATTGATGTGACCTTCTCACCTTGTGGTTACCTCTACGGAGTAGCCTCTTCGATTTGGAGTGTGCAGCAGGGTGATCCATAATTCCAGGTAGAGAAACTTCGATCTGACCCGAAAGCCAAGATCCCCAAGACTCGTAAATTCGCTGACGCCGGTGCGATGAATACCTGGTAATCTGCCTACCTCCTGCGTATTGTTACGATGGATTAAATCATTCTCTGTCGTTGAAAATCCTGCATGACAGTGCAACGGCGGGATCGACCTACAGGGATTGCGCAGGAATTCCCAATGGATCGTATTCGAAGTTCGAAGGGAACACCATGAGTTGGATTGCCGGGTCAACGCAGTAGAAAAAACTTGCTGGAAAGCAAGACGACGGCAAAGTCAACCATCAGGCATTTGGCAGGGTAGCACCAGAGAGCCAAATACGAGACGCAGGCATTGTGCAGGAAATCGGAAACAGTTCAAGGTGGCAGATAGTGATCGGACTTGGTGCCGAGCTAGGTGGCGCTAGTTTTGCGGAGGGCCCAACATTTGTTACAGGGACCAATTAAAAAGAAAGGAACAAAAATGGCGAAAAAAAAAAAGGAAGAAATGAAGAACATACTCCGTACTTGCAGGGTCGTTCTTTGGCTTCACACACCAGCACAGGAATGGCAATTGACCGATTGGGTTCGTGGCGGGATGTGGCGCATTGCTAAAATGGAGGAAGTCTTTGCGGTGAGGAGGTGGGCACGCGCCCATCCCGTAACTGCTGAACGAGAGGGGCAAGGTGGATCTATATCTATATATCATAGAATCCACTCAAATAGTCGGCATATCTGTCTTACTGATCGGCATACCTTTGCTGAGTAGCCGGTTTCATTACCTTTTTTTTTCTGTCTTTTCCTTTTTAAGTCGAAATAAGAAATAAGGGTAAGGGAATCAGACGAGATGGGCTTCCTGCCAGCCCAGCGGCCTTTGAACGTGGTTGTTGTTGGGTATGTGCATCTGACACTGTGTAGTTCATTGATGTTTATTGATCCATTCGCCATCATCGCCGTTTCTATCCTGGCGCCTATGCTTACCGTTTAGGATAGAGCAGGTATGCAGTTCCGGATCGGTAGCAAAGGAGGCTCAGAAAAATATGGAAAACCACATTAACTTGCGCTCGATCCCTTTTGAAGGGATCGGAGGTCTTGCAACCGCAATTTCTTTGGCGACTTGGGGGCACAGGATTCTCATCCTCGAGTCCGCGTCTCAGGTACGAGATAATGCGCCATCTGTGAAGCAAAGGCATAGACAGGCTGACTCCATAGCGGATTATATAGATTCGGGATCTAGGTGCAGGAATCCAAATTGCCCCGAACATGCGTTGTATTCTGAGACGTACGTGCTCTCCCATTGGACGCTGTTGAATTCACCTAACACACATTCCGCATCTTAGGTTTGGGAGTCGAGCCAGCGATTGAAAAGAGTAGTATTGTCCTTGAGCGCATCCAGGTCGTCCGATGGCAGGACGGACGAGTCCTAAGTGAAGGCCCGGTTGATCACCAATATGGCGAAGCTGCAGTCATTCACCGCGGGGATCTTCAAAAAGCGCTCATCGACAGAGTTCTCGAGCTAGACAATATTAAAATACGTCTGGGTGCAACGGTCGTTGATATCGAATTTGATCGTCCAGCTGTGTTCCTAAAAGGCGGGGGAATGATATACGGTGACGTAGTGATTGCAGCCGACGGCATCAAATCCACAGTCAGAAACAAGATGTTTTCAGATAAAAGTAACAGGGCACAGCCTAGTGGAGATGCCGCATTCCGGATTCTCATACCACGTGCAAAAATGCTGCAGGACAGAGAGACTGCGAAGTTAATTAACGAGCCACAGGCAGTGAGATGGATTGGTCCGCATCGACATGTCGTCGGCTATCCTATACGGAATCATCAGCTGTACAATGCTGTTTTTGTCCATCCTGACAGGGACTCCATCGGCGACTCTTGGACTATTCCCGGCACACGCGAGGAGATAATGGAGACGTTTGGCGGTTGGGATCCTCGACTCCTGAAACTAATCTCATGGTCCACAAGTGTGCTGAAATCCAGACTTTGTTTGTATCCGCGATTGCAAACTTGGGTTAAAGGGTCATGTGCTTTGGTTGGGGATGCATGCCATCCTATGCTGTAAGTTGCACGCATACCAAAATTTGTAGGATGGCGTACATGGAGCCATCCTGACGGGCCAAGGCTTACAGGCCATCACAGACCTTACGTCGCACAAGGCGCCGCCCAGGCTCTTGAAGATGCCGCCGCTCTTGGGGTGATACTATCCCAAGTAGAGACGGTGGCAGACATCCCATTTGCTCTGCAGATCTATGAGAAGTGCCGAAAGGAGCGTGCGGAAGGGATTCAGCAATCGGGTACCGAAAACCGAATCGCACTGCACCTTCCTGACGGGCCAGAGCAGGTCAAGAGGGACGAGGAATTTGCAGCTTCAATGCAGGGAGCCAAGAGCCCCGATAAATGGAATGATAGGGAAACGCAGAGACTACTCTGGAGCTATGATGCGGAAGACGCGGCGAAGAAATGTTGGTTGGGTACGTATCAGCCACACGCGGTATATTAGGGTGCATCTGGCCATGAGGCGACCAGAAACATCAGCAAGACAGTACGGAGTACAACATCTGCTAATGAGGTTGGCTGATGACAGAATGCACCAAGAGAACGGAATCTCTCCCTCACGCTAGACTGTGACCCTGTCTGGAGTGAAATAAGTATCCGGGGTCAGCCATCAAGCATCTTCGTTCAACATCCCTGGCCGAGGTGGTCTAGGTGGCAGTCGGTGACAGCGGTTGGCTGTTGATATGGTGTCCGAAGCATCAGGAGGCGGGCGCTTTTAAGAATCTGACGGAGACGGCGCTGAGGACGCTGGCGGCTCGGCGCCTACCGCTTGGGGCTAGCGCCTGCCGTTAGCGCCGCCTGGGTACATCCTGGCTCGTGCTAAATACGACTGCGGAGTCGATGATGGGAAGGAGAGCGCAGATATATCTACTTTTCTTGGGCCAGAGAGGGGTTAGGGGTTACATCCGATATGCGTGATGCCCAGCGCCAATATGTACTTACGGCGTACTACGCAAATGGAGAATAGAAGTTCAATTTATGGATCACCCCCTGTATTCTTTTGTTTCCTCTGCAATGGTCGATAAACTCGACTAGATGGTGTATGTAGATGTTGGTTGCCTGCTCATCTAGACACTTGAAGCCACCCGCTGTACGGCGTCTCTGCAATCAATATCTTCACTCAAGAAGCCGGCCACCTCTCAAGGGAAGGATGTTTTCAAGATCTTTGGCGGCGGATGCTTGTCTCGGCCCCTGCAATGTTAGCACTGAAACAGCGATGCTTACAAGATTTCCTCACAACCTTGGAAATTGGACTTGCTGCCAATTAATCAGCAGATGGAGGAAGGTCAGTTAAGGTGAATATCCGTACGCAGGATTTAAGTAGCAAAAACGGCTTAGTTGGTTCAGACCACTGGTATTCCTGAACTTAAAAAATAAAAATAGACTCTGCGGACGGACTTCTGCCTCTGGCCCCCTCATTTACCACGGCTTGAAGATGTGTTTAGGGCATGATGGGCGGTTACGATAATTACTATTGCGCCTGAGACTTGATTGCCTGAGACTTGATTTCAGAGCAATGGCATCATATCTCTGCTTTCATCATTTCTTCTTAACAGATTTCTCATCGGTTTATTTATCCCTTCGTGCTTGCAACTGAGTATGAGCTATTTATATAGAACACCTGCATTTACCCCTCTTCCTATCATCACGGGGACTCGACCAGCAAACCGATTGTGAGAAAAAGGAAAAAGAAGAAAGAAAGAAAGAAATAGCCGTCCTGGTGAATTGGATAATACGGTTCGCTGTCAATTGAAAATATGCCAGCCCAGAAACTCATCCAGAGCGAACCTGCGCCTGGGGTGAGCTATTTCACTCCGGTACAGAACCCCCCATCAGGAACTGCCGCAGATCCCCAGTCCGATGGCTCTAGGCCGCCAAAGCTCTTCCGGCCTCTGAAAGTAAGGGGTGTGACATTCCAGAATCGTATTGGGGTATGTGTTCCCACTCCGTATTCGGATTATGTGCGCGATAGCATTTTTTCAAAACGCTGACGAGCATTTGATTGATTCTGTAGCTAGCTCCTCTGTGCCAATATTCATCAGACGATGGACACATGACAGACTGGCACATGAGCCATCTCGGAGGAATCGCCATGCGAGGGCCAGGCTTTGTCATGACGGAGGCCACTGCTGTCCTCGCCGAAGGTCGGATTTCGCCAGAGGACGCGGGGTTATGGAAGGACTCGCAAATCGAACCTCTGAGGCGGGTGGTAGAATTCGTCCACAGCCAGAACCAAAAGATTGGCATCCAGCTCGCCCATGCCGGGCGCAAGGCGAGTGCCTTGGCTCCATTTCTCGCAGACACCGAAGTTGCACCGGAGCATGCAAACGGCTGGCCAGATAATGTGAAGGGCCCCAGCGACATCCCATTCTCAGACACCTTGGCACAGCCCAAAGCAATGACAAAACGGGACATTGCGGATGTGAAGGAAGCGTGGGGTGCAGCTGTGAGGCGTGCAGTGAAGGCTGGCGTGGATTATATAGAGGTGCACTGCGCTCACGGCTATCTGCTGTTTTCATTTTGCTCGCCGGTCTCCAACAACCGCACCGACGAGTACGGAGGCAGTTTTGAGAATCGAATCCGGCTAACCAGCGAGATCATCACCATCTCGCGCCAGAACATGCCGAAGGACATGCCCCTCTTCTTACGAATCTCTGCCTCCGAGTGGCTAGAGGAGACCCGTCCGGACCTACCCAGCTGGAAATCAGAAGACACAGTGCGGTTCGCGAAGATATTAGCGGAGAAGGGCGAGGTCGATTTATTGGACGTCAGCGCGGGTGGGAATCACCCTGACCAGAAGATCATTCCGGGGCCGTGCTTCCAAGCGCACTTTGCTCATGCGGTGAAGGAGGTTGTGGGCGACAAACTTCTCGTCGGAGCGGTCGGGAGCATCAACAACGGCATCGATGCAGACGCGCTGCTGGAGAAAGGACTTGATTTAGTACTTGTTGGTCGACTGTTTCTGAAGAACCCGAGCGTTGTGTGGCAATTCGCGGAGGACTTGGGTACTGAGCTCAAGTTCGCTAACCAAATCGGATGGGCGTTTGGGAGGCGAGGCCCGCAGGGGTTCATTAAGACAAAGAAACGAGAAGAGAAGATCTAGAATTTAGACGCGGATGGGTTGTCGACAGCTGCGTAGATCAGCATTAAAAATCGGAGCTGGTGGTGGGTGCATTTGTTTCTGTTCCTTGCATCTGGTCCATTATCAGTAGTTCTACCATGTTCTATATTTAATAAGTCTATAGAGAAATACGCATCCTGTATTGAATGTACTGTACATACATAAGGATCAACATATTTACATCCGAACATATTTACATCCGAACATATTTACATCCGCAAGCATAGGATGCCTCACAGATGTTAGATGTTTGTAACAACCTCCTTTTTGCCTACCACAACATTTCAAAGCCTGGAGTCAAACTGGCCAGAATCCCAGAATCCCAACAGCCTCAAGTTCTTTTGATGTCCACAACGGCGACTGCGACTTTCCCAGGCCATTCAATTGTCCAATCTTGCAACCATGGCTTATCAACTGAGTGCTTCCTACTGTGTCAGATACAACGAGTCCAAGCCACCATTGGCTTACACCCCTGGTCAAGAGGTTCGCATCCACCTGCATACTCCTCCTGCTCCCGCAACAGTTGAGGTCATCTTATCTTATGAGAATCATTGAGAAAGAGAAAGTGTTCATCCTGTGGATTGTTGTATACTTCATCCTTCCCTGCCTGAATTGACTGGAGAGAGCATGATTTGACTGCAGGTTGTTGAATCTGTCAGAATGAGAGATCAACACAGTACACAGCTTGTTACCATCTGTGTGTCATTGATAAGACTTCAGATGTCTCAGACAAGACCCAATACCAGCTGATCTGAATCCAGTCATCAAGCTCTACAATCCCCTCTACTTTGGGCATAAACAAGATGATGTGGATCCTTTTCACTACATAGATCTGGCATACTCTCATGAAACTGCAGTCTATCAACTGCTTTATTCACTTGAAGAAACTATCATTCCAAGATATTATGAGTCTTTTACACTTGAGCTGTCAATTCCAAATGAAAGCACATCACAATCTATTCAATTGGTCCTTATCAAAAAAGTAACCAAGACCACAATACAACATCTCAACCCAGCCAACTATATGCAGTCAGAGCATCAAAGAATTTTGAAGACCATCATAAATGCAGAATCTATGCTGTATGTTCAGTTGCACAGAGATATAAATGTTCTTGTGCTGGAGAGCACTCTTCAGCCAGTGGTACTCATTGACTTTGGACATTGCAGGATTGGTTGAACCCCTGCAAACAGCTCTGTTGAGTGGAAAGCCAAATATCTTGCTGATTTTCCAATATCATCTTTGTTGTGTTGGGATCAGGATTGGAGCCGTCATCCCACTTTTCATGAATGGGTTGACTGGGACTGGCAACCTTGGCTTGAGCACTGCTATGGATCCATGAGAGCATCCATCATGGAACAAATGTGGTCGGTTTGGCTGCCAAAAAGTACCACTTAAATCATCGCCTCCCCGTCCATCCGGATGTTTCCCAGCACCTTGGATGTTCTCCAGTTCCTAGAATTTGAACTTGCCCTTTCGGTTTGGACCTGGAATATTGATGCATGCATTTGGCCGAACTTCCTATGATATATTTATGTGATATCATTGTTCAACGGAACATCTGAAGAGGGAGGCTGAGTGATACCCCCTTAACTTTAGGTGTAGAGGATCACAGCATTTCATATAAATCAGACCACACTCACGTTCCAAGTGCATGACATCCTCTCATCTTGACAGCCAAATTCGAGATGGCACTGGCACAGATCATGTCTCTCTCTCAGAGGAGAAGTGCAGGGCAGGCGATCGAGGAGCACATCTTGTCCACACCGGTTCCTCTCTAGTTCGATTCTGATGTGTGGTGCTTGATACCAACTCGACCTTGTTCACCGCGAACCAACGCCTTTACAGCATTGTTATTGTATGTTTATCCATATAGATGTAAATACATACTCACGATTGCCGGCTATTTCGAAGAATACTCGTGCCATGTTAGTCGATCTGATGGAAGACTGTCATTTTGGTGCTGCCCACGCAGCAAATGAACATGGCTTGAATTTTTTTGCAGAGGTGATTTTCACCAGTCGAACCATGAAGCGACCGAACCGTCACCAACTACGCAGTGCCCTCTTGTCCTGGTAAAACGGTGGATTTGCTTAAAATAATATTAAGGCTGGAGTTATAGCGTCATGCGGCAATACTCGGGACTCACTATCCCTGGAAATAGTATCTGGGGGAGCCTGGTTAGTTGGCTTCTGGTCTGAGTGTTCCGAGGCCCACGATGGTTATAAACGCAGTAGAGTAGCGATGTAAAGCAAGTTATATAAAGCCAGCTTGTTGTTAGTTATTTCGTGAATTTGATATTTGATCTTTTTCCTGAACGCCTGTTGAATTGGCCAAACCCCCGGCATTAGAATCCTCCTCCTATCCATGATATTTCGTGCTGGGATCTTGCAGGAGTGCGCACAGATGCATGGATGCTGATATTTAATCAGAGTAAGCAAGCCCGTTTTTAAACTGGTGCATCACACCGATATATAACAGCCCATAATACTCCGTAATGATGGTCGACGTTACAACGATGCACGCCATAATTCCAGGATAGCCTGCGCCAATTTCGTCAGGCCCAGGCGAGCGCAATTGGGGCAATTGGGCCCCGCCGGCAAAGTGGTTGTTTCAATGGCGCCGTGGAACCGTTGGGGCTTTTTGCAGCCTTGATGGCTTCGGCCGCCCCTCTTCCCGTTGAGGCGAAGGTCTCCCCACTGGCATCAACGACGACATATCTCGCCCCAACGCCGCCACCAATTGGCATCCAAGAGTCCAAGTATCCAACGAGATCGGTTGTCCGCGCTCGGATTGTGCTCCATACCGATTGGCTGCGTCTGTTACCAATGGTCATGTGAAGATTTCTCAGTCGCGGAGCTGTTGGTCGTTCGATTTGGTATGCTCGTTCTCAACCCTTAAAACTATCCCGTCAACCACACAAGGCCCTTCTACAACCCGGCGGGGCGCCAGGACCATACGAATAATAAATAATAATGGCTTCGATACGGCTGTCACGGGCTGGGGCACAAGCCGCTCTACGCATCTTTACCCCGATCACGCAAACCCGAGCTGCGACGTCCATATCGCCAGCGGCAGCGTCAACGTCGAGTGCCCTCCAGGATGCTCTTGTCGCCGAGGCTCCCCGTATCAATTGGACGCGGGACGAAATCAGACAGATATACGAAACACCCCTCCACCAGCTTACATATGCCGCTGTATGAACTTAATCCTTCTCCGTTTGCGGGGGAAGGGGAGATGGACCAACCACCCGCTCCCCCTGCCTATGCCTGAATGGAGGGAAATGCTAATGATTTTTTTTTTTCCTATCTAATGCCTACAGGCCACCGTCCACCAGCGATTCCATGACCCTTCGGCTATCCAGCTATGTACTCTGATGAATATCAAGGTCGGCGGCTGCTCAGAAGACTGCTCGTACTGCTCGCAGTCCTCACGATACAACACAGGCCTCCAGGCCTCGAAGATGAGCTCTGTCGAGGCTACCTTAGAAGCCGCCCGCATCGCCAAAGAAAACGGTAGCACCCGTTTCTGTATGGGCGCCGCCTGGCGGGACATGCGTGGTCGGAAGAACAGCCTGCGTAACATCAAGAAAATGATCTCTGGCGTTCGAGCGATGGATATGGAGGTGTGCGTGACACTCGGGATGATCGACGGCGAGCAGGCCAAGGAGTTGAAGGACGCGGGGCTGACCGCCTACAACCACAACGTCGACACCTCCCGCGAATTCTACCCCTCCGTCATCACCACCCGGACATACGACGAGCGGCTCCAGACGCTGAGCCACGTGCGCGATGCCGGCATCAACGTTTGCTCTGGCGGGATTCTGGGCCTGGGCGAGGACGATTCTGACCGTGTGGGCCTGTTGCATACCGCCGCAACACTCCCTGCACATCCAGAGTCGTTCCCCGTTAACGCTCTCGTGCCCATCAAGGGAACTCCCCTCGGGCATAGGAAACCCATCGCGTTCGATAAGGTGCTCCGCACCGTCGCGACGGCGAGGATCGTCCTTCCCAAGACCACTGTCCGACTCTCCGCAGGTCGCATAAACATGACTGAAGAACAGCAGGTGGCCTGCTTTATGGCTGGGGTTAATTCAGTGTTTACGGGCGAGAAAATGCTCACCACTGACTGCAATGGATGGGAGGAGGATAAGCGGATGCTGGAGAAATGGGGTTTCTATCCAATGGCAGGGTTTCAGCGAGGGGAGTTCAGGGGTGGTGCTACTGCTACTACTGCTACAACCGCCACCGCCACCACCACCTCTCCCACCACTTCCCCTCCTGTTCCTCCTGCTTAGGGTTAGGGGAAAAAAAAAGTTTCGGGTAGAATTACGTCGAATATATGATATCAATAGAAATGTCGGAAATGTCTATATTTGCAAGCAGAACGTGGTGTATACCCAAAAATTCAAAACTTTTCTTTTCTTTTTTTCCCCCCAAGTTCTATCGTTCTATAAAAGTGCAGTGCGAACTGCTTTCTCTATCCTTGCCAGCTGTTCTACGCCTGAAGTCAAATCACACATCAAGTAAAGGACATTCCCTAAAACCCTGCAATGAATGCTAAAACCGTCTGCGTTTGTTTCGCCTAGCCGCCGTTGGAGGGCAGCTGCGGCATTGGAACCATATCCTAGAAACGATAAAGCCTGTTAATGGAGGATCGTAATTGTAAATTAAGGGTGGTCGCAGGAACTACTTACCACCGCCGTCTTGGCTTCGCAGGCTAATACTTAGAACAGTGCCAAGGGCAAAAGCCGCTTCGACCTGTTCGGAGCGCGAGAGGTCCAGGACCAATTGATCCGACCAGCTACTCCAAACGTGCCGAAGCTGTTCCGGAAGATCAACGCCTGCTTCCACAGACGGTTGATTGTGCGGCTGACGGTGTGGCTGATCACGTAATAGCATTTGCTGACATCGTTCTGCATTCTTAGTGGTCAACATGCGGAGCGATGCTTCTGCCACTCTACAGCCGACAGGGTGTGCGGTATAGCTGTGGCCGTGCAGCAGGGCATCGACTTTGTGCGGGGTACAAAACGCGTCGAAGATATCCTCGCTTGCAAGGGTGATGCACAGCGGCACGAGCCCGCCTGTCAGCAGCTTTGCGTGCACTGAGATGTCGGCGTGCGTATCGAGGAAGGATGCAGAGGAGGCTCTGCCCAGGCGATAGAGGCCGGTGAAAACTTCGTCGAAAACCACAGGCAGGCCAGACCATGTGCGATCCGACGATGATGAAGGTGGGGCATGGCCTCCCCCAAATAGGCCCGGGTTCTCCCGAACAACTTCAACCATGGTTTGCTGGAAAAGTGGATCGCTATGATATATATTGAAGAAAAAGAGTCAGCACCGGTTAAGAGCGGTTAGAAAGGCAAGGGAGAGGAAAACAAGGGAGAGGAAAACAATTGCTTGTCGCAACTGCAGTACTAACGCGAATAACATCCCGCCAGCTCCCAGGATGACAGGTTCCATGATCAGGGCTCCGAATTTTCGACCATCCTGGCAAATAAGTTTTTCTAAGCTCCTCTTTATGTAAGTATAATAGCGTTGGCGGGCGACTGATTTTTTCCGCTGCGCAAGGTCGAAGATCGATTGTCGAGTAGGAAATTCTGTATTGTTTCCTAGTGACCCCTTTAATTCCTGTGGTATTTCGATGATCCATCTTCCCCGTAACATTTTCACCGTGGGAAAGTTGAACCAATGGCCGCGGCCGCGGTACCACTCAACTTTTTTGTTGTAGATTGAGGGTTCCGCGAGATCCATCGTCCCAATTGTATCCCCGTGATAGCTTCCGCGCAGGCCTAAAATCTCAATGTCTTCCTTGCTGGAATCCCAATTATACCGCTTGCATGCCACTCTCAGAGCCATCTTGACGGCAACCTCCATACCAGTGCTTCCGTTGTCGGAGTAGAATGCTCTCTTCAATCGAGGGTTGTTTATCATTTTAATCAGGGATTCCGCGAGTGAAAGGGCCGGTTCATGGATTGCACCTGGCAAGATGACATGGCCATATCGGCCAGCCGCATAGGCTGCCTCCAAGGACAATTCGGGGTTCCCGTGGCCAAGGCACTGAGTCCACCAAGACGCAGAGCCGTCAAATGTTGGCCGTAATAGGTTGGATTTATTCTCTTGCGAAGGTTCAGTGTTAGCTGCGGTTGGTTCTGAACCAGATTCCGTAGAATTTCCCGTGGAAGTTTGGAAACAGTCTCCATATGCCGAATCGATTACCATGATATCTTTTGGAGCTAATGACTGGTGTTGGGTAAATGGGTACCAAATGGAGGAATGGGCCCTGGCGGACATAGACTCAAGTTCTGAGATCCGAGAGTGATGCTTCTCAGAGAGTATATCCAAAAAACTGGACCGGGGCCCATGCACTTCTGTCAGAAGCCTTTTAGCCTGTTCTTCGTAATATCTTGACATCTTCTGTTCATCATCTGCGGCAACGGAGTCGTCGCCTGTCAATTGTTTTGGGGGAGGTTGGGGTACTGTCAAAACCGGAATGTTCCTTTTCGAGAGGAAAAATTCCTCTAGGTACGTGTGGTTTTGATAGAAGTTATCCTCCAGCACAGCAACCGCATGGACATCGTATCCGCGAAGCGAAAGACTTTCAAACGCAGCAATAGAAGATGATATCCCCCCTAACCTTGAGTCTGCAACCAGAATGACAGGCAATGGCAGTGGTCTATAGAGATCACTTTGCAGGGTCCCGTTTAGCCCGGGGGATAAGACTCCTCCGGCCGTTCAACGAGAGCAAGTCCACGCCCATATTGTGCCCACCCGTGAAGGGTTTGGCTAACAGCCTCGACAATTTCTCCGTCTCCAGGGCACTGCGGACATACAATTTAGCGGCCTATGAGAAAAGATACATACATAGATATAAATATAAAAAAGATGATGACAAAAGTTACCTGTTTACCGGCAGCAGCAAGATGAGGGCTCACCGGCTGATCGAAGATGTATAAACACTTGATCGAAACATGCTTAGCGAAGCGACTGATGTGTCTGTGTTACACCACGCTTATTAGGAATGTCATATAGTCGATGACAGGTTTATCCAGCGCTAGGCGCCGTGTAAAATAAAATCCAAGTGAGCTACCTCAGCCATTTCATCCACATACCTATCATCCCTATCACACTCAGGCCCGGTAGAAACAGGCTTCAAATACCAGTGGTTGGTCTTGGGTTTCGACAAGGCGTGCGCCTTGTAGAGGAGGGACGAGAATACCGTTTTACCCACGTTGGTATTCGCACCGCATACTTGATATGTCAGGAGATGCTTTGAGAGAAAAGCGCCCACGCAAGCCATAGTCAAAGCAAACCGCCCCCTTTCTTTTTTTTTTTTCTTTGAGGAGACAAAGTGCAAACTGTTCCTAGGGCATTTCAGATATATAGTGGCTCGCTGGCGATACAGCCCCTTGTCAGCTAGTGAGCCGTGTGCAGACTGCGCCGCTAACACCCGGAGTATCTGCAATACACTTCCAGGCCCCAAGTTGACTATTCCCCGGCTTGCATTTTGCACACAGCTCAATATGTTATTAATATTATCATTGATTGCTGTTGTTGACAACTTGTTGAGAACTGACTCGGTTTGATGGGGCGAGTTCAACCAAACTTGAGGCTAAAACCAAATATTCCCCGCCAGCGAAAACAAAACAAAATATAAAAATACTTGCTCCCCCTCACTAGGGCATCCATGGATCCGCCCTCTCGCCCCAACGAGTCAACAAGTCCCAAAACTCTGAACGCACGCCGGATCCATGATCCCAGCACGCACCCTTTCTATGTGCTTCGCTGGGACCAGGTGAAAAATTTCAGCAACCCGATATCTTACATGCCATCGAAAGTTTGAAAATGTAATCGATCTGGTCGCCATGTAAACGCAAAATGGACTCTTCTGGGGCCCTTCTGCGTGCCTTTCAATCTTGCCTGGATCAGAGAGAGGTTAAAGGGCGTCGCCGCTATCTCCAAGTCCCACCATCCGGCGGGGTGGATTTTTCCTCTAACGACTTCCTTTCGCTATCAACATCAACCACCCTCCGCTCCCACCTTTTACAAAGTCTTGCCCGTGAGCCTTCGTCACATTCATTTGCAAGCACGGGGTCTAGGCTTTTGGACGGTAACTCAGCGTATATAGAAAATCTGGAGCGCTTTATAACCGCCTTCCACAATGCGGAGAGCGGCTTACTCTTCAACTCCGGCTATGATGCCAATCTATCGATCTTTTCATGCGTTCCACAGCCGGGGGATGTTGTTATACACGATGAGTTAATCCACGCGAGTGTCCACGATGGTGTGAAACTTTCGAGAGCCTCGAGGAAAATTTCATTCGAGCATAATTCGGTCGACGATTTTTTCCGAATTGCACAAAGCGTTGTACAAGGAGATCCTTTGGTAGCGTCGGGAGAGCGGAGCGTATTTGTTGTAGTGGAATCTCTGTATAGTATGCAGGGTGACTTTGCCCCAATTGCGGAACTTCTAGCGGTTATCAAGACTGTGTTTCCCAGAGGGAATGCATACATGATTGTGGATGAAGCGCACACCACAGGAGTGTTCGGACCTCGAGGGGCAGGTCTTGTCCAAGAACTTGGTGTCGAGGGCCATGTTTTCATCAGAGTACATACGTTTGGTAAAGCGCTAGCCAGCCACGGAGGTACCGTTCCCCATCCCTGTTTGAGGTCACCCTGAAGCTGTCGACCTAGAGCGTTCCGCTGTCGTTACTTCGAATGAGGTTTCAGATGCGTCTTAGTCTACAAAAGTGATGGGACATCAACCTGACTAACATATGTGGGAATTCTGTTCGTCTCCCGACTGTAGCAATCGTTCTCTGCTCCCACCTCACGCGGGAATATCTGATCAACTACGCTCGACCCCTCATATATTCCACGGCATTGGGCCTTCCATCTCTAGCCGCCACCCGCGTTGCATACGAGCTGATGAACGATGGAGCAACTGAGTCGGTATGACCTAATCCTCCCCAAATTGATACATTTACATATTTATATACCTATACACCTATAACTGACTTATCTCATGGCCTCCCTAGCTCCAATCGCGACTGCACGACCTCGTTAAATACATGGCCACAAGATTAAAAAGCCTTCAACCAGCAGATCCTGCAATCTTGACAATACATCATCAAGATCGGTCTCCTATTTTCTCGCTTCAGACATCGATGCCACGTGAACTTGCGAGCTTTCTCCAGGCTGAAGGACAAATTGTCCGAGCGATTATGCCTCCCACCGTCCCAGTGGGAACGGAACGAGTGCGCGTGTGTCTTCATGCTAGGAATACATTCGAGGAGATAGATCGCTTGACTACTCTGATCAAGGAATGGGTTGAACAGCAACGTCCAAGGAGGACCTATAGGCTGTAGCAGCGGGGCGGCTAATTCTACATAGACATGGTTGATATTGGTGGAAACTATGAGATGCGTGAGAGTCATTCAAAGGAAGCGCTACGCGTTTTGCTTTTTTTTTTTTTTTTTTTTTTTTTTTTTTTCTTTTTCTTTTAGTAAATTAGAAAAAGATGTGTAGATATTTTGACAGATAAAGCTGATTAGACTCAATCTAGAAGCTATTTCGCTAAATGGTCTCGGAGGGCTCTATCAAGAAAAATATATAGATACCTTCCCATTTTCTATGCAATCTGAGTGGAATGCCGGAAAATAGAGTCAAAAGCGAGCTCACCCAGTCCAAAGCGAATCTGTAATGTCAGTTTGCTGAATGCCCTAGATGTTGGTATGGAAGGGAGGAGGGAGTTGAGAAAAAGGGTTAACTTACTGCACGGTGTCCTCCAGCGTCGAGAAGAAAAAGTTCATCGTTATATTCTATTTGCGCGGAAAATGCTCATCGGATGGCTTACACTACCAATTTTATCAAATAAAATACTACTCTCCTGCTTCACACTCCACCGCCTCTTTGTGTTGAAACGACGTAGGATTGCCTAGGTAGCAACTTGAATGGCACCAAATAAAATGTGTTAAAAATAACTGGGATGCTAGCGGTCAGTAGCTACGCGAAAGGGAGCAATCAATTCGCAAAGTGAAATGACCGTTGGTTGAGCATTCTTCTATCGGAACTCAACGAGATAGCTTTGCAAAAGCAACCTCGTACACTACCTACGAAGTATATCGATCGATGCCCTAGCATGACGAAGGTGGTGGGAGTTATCAGTAACCATTCTGTCTTCGGCACTGTAGGTTGAAAAGCTCTCTATTCCTTTTCAATTGAAGGGAACGGCCATGAGCAAAACCCAAGCAATTGGTGGGTTCCGCTAGGTTTAGCCATGGTCGGAGGTAAAGATGGCAATCACTGCGAGATTTTCATCGAATTGTTTTCCTTGTCTTCTAACCCATTCCGGTATGTCTCCCGAGCGCAGGCTTCTGTCTGGTAGTGGCCTCATCATAACCAAATGGCTACAAAGCACACATTCGTGCAATGGCAATAACGTCTTCCCCCATTCCGTTTCTCCGGGCTTTTTGCAGCAACCATTTTCCCTTTGGCAAGAGTATTCTCACACCTCTCTCGTCTGGACTTAAGTATGGTAACACGACTGAGCGGACGTAGGGCTGGGCTGTCCAGGTAGTCATGACCGGACCTGCATATTTTGTGTGCGAACGAGCGCGAACTGCTTGCGTAGCAAGTTGCTTTACTCGGGATGAGCCGGTTAGATCCAATTGACCGACACGACATGAGCAAACCGACCCGTGCCAGATATGCAACCGATAAAACGCAACTTGAAACGCAGTTCGAGCAGCAAATGCATCGGCCAACAGGTATGGAATAATACCTACGCTTGTTTCACGTTTCTTATCGTCACATTGAGTCAAACAGATTAGTTATGAGCTCCTCAATGGTATGAGGATTTATCAGCTTATCAGCTCAATGTCTGCTGCGGATTTGCAGAAATAGCACAGCAAATCCTCATTCAATTTCCATCAAAAACAATCATCACCACTGCCGCATTGCTGATCATAGTACTGTCAGCATTTTCAGCATTTTCATGTTCTTGTATCGTTTTCTGTAAAAGGTTCTGGCCTCAATACCTCCGAAGCTTTTCCTTCCAGCACAGGAATGGATGTTGATGTCAGATTAAACTTCTGGTCATGCATATGCCAAGCACACTAAACCAGAGCTTTCCATGTGTACGGAGTAGTGATGCTCTATTGCTCTATTACGAGGTGTATCCTAGTTATATTCGCTGTCAGGAGCCTAATAGTTAATGAATGTTGATGAGGACCTCGCAGAGTTGGGGCAGGTGGTTTCTATCCAATGACCTCACACGTCCTTTAGGCTCAATAGATCGCTATTCAGCATAGGAATACGCCAAAATTCTATTAGAAGAAAATAAGTTCCCGTCAAATTTGAATAATATTATTCGGCTGAAAATTGGATAATCAGTGGCCTTGTCCCATGCGCATAGAGATAATAAGAAATGCTCAGTTTTTGCGAATTGATTTATAGAGCGCAAGTAGAAAATAAAATAAAATAAAATAAAATAATTAGGATAAATAAGAGTGATAAATTACAAAGCGCAGGAAATGATTACTGATGAATATATGCGCTAGAAATCTCGCAATGCAATGAAGATACGTTGCAGTCATGGAGGGTGAAGCAAGCAGAAACAGTAAAGAGGTGATCGATGAAGCAAGATAAAAATGCCACAAGCTGTCAAGGGTCAATTCCGCGGCCAGTAACATATTATAATAACGTTTGGAGTATGGTTGCCGCATGCTATAACGTACGAGTAATAATATCGTCAAATCTGAAAAGACTTAGGATGTGGGGGAAATAATATGTGCGTCTAAAGATGAGCGGAAGAATAGGCGAGGAAGGAAGAGTGTATTTTAAACAAAGGAGAAAAAAGTACGAAAGACTGAGAGGAAATCTGAGCCAGCCAATTCCGATGTCTGAAGCATTAACAGGAAAGGTCCACTATCAAATCTGGAGATATAGGCGTGAAATTCAGGCTAGATCTGATGTCGTGAGATGGTCTGCATTTGTGGCTTGAAGCTTATATCGTCGGGTGA